CAGAGCATAGGAAATTGAACTCATGCTTATATGCAGTCATAGGATGAGAAAAACTTTGAGCTTGACCAGAACTCATTAACCTGTGACCAACATAAGAAGAAATTTTATGAAGGCTGATTTGTATTTTGCATCAAGGGCACCGGGCAAAAACATGAAAATGCAACAAACAAACCACTTTGTGGTAGATTGTATTTTCATGTTTTCATCTGGCGCCCAGTTACTTTTTGTACTATGTTGGTTTTCATGTGGCACAAATCACCCACTATAAATTTAGTGCACAAATTTATTCAAGGGCAAGTAACAATCTACTCTATGTACAGTCTGTTGTCGCGTTGACTCAGGAGACCTGGAGGTTGAGACCGGTGTCTCTTCATTACAAATAGATAAGACAGAAGCTGTCCTTTTCAAACTATGCACATGTTAGAAAAAAATAGAATAACTATTCAGAATATGATTTTTTGAGACTTTATTAATTATATTGCTTGATCCAAGTTTAAGGACATTTTCAATCAATACATGTTTTATCATTTATAACTTTAAATGAAAGTCTGATCCCTTTAATAATAATGACATAACTGTATCTCTTTAAATGCAGAAAAATTATAAGTCTCAACATATCAATATACTACTGTCTAAGATATACATGTACATGCACATAACATTAATAATTCCCAGTTTATATTAAATAAATATGAAATCCTAACATTAACATTAACATGCTTTTGATGACCTTACAACTGGTGAATTATATACAACAAAAATAGTATTATAAGTAATACCTAAGATAGACAGAAAAGAACAAATAATTTAGTAAACATAAGTTACTTCCCCTTAAAATAAAGAAAACCTGAAACCCAAAAGAACACGATAAACAGCAAAATTATGAAATGTTGCAGGTTCAATTTTATCAAGCCATGCAAATTAATGGTAAAGTATTCATAAAAAAAATAGATGGCCATGTGACAGCAGTAATTGCAGAAAATCGGATAGCTTTCAACATCCGGATACTGGTACACTTTGTAAAAACAACCATTCTGCGCAACAGATAAATGTAATAAGGATAAAATCAATAGGATAATCGTTTACAAAAGTTTCATTACCTATCCTTATACTCAATTGCAGGTGAACTTTCTTCTTGTAGGAAAATTTTGAAAATGTATAAATGATACGGGCCTCAATCTAGACCACAACGATATTCGAAATCCGGGTTTTAGTATTGTCATTAAAACTAAGGGACAAGCTGTTAAACTTAACCCGCAATTTCGTGAAAATAATATCACAATGCACATGCTTTTTACATAAAGTTATTAAATACAAATATAACAACACATTTGTTTACTTGATTTTTACGAATCAAAATAAAACTAATTTACACAACATGAAATTAACTGCTAATAATAACAGCTCCTTCCATAGGCAAAAATAACAAGAAATATCTTTAAAAAAGATAATCGGCGTAAATTCAGTGCAAAATGTCTCATAGCTTTAGAATATTTTCAAAATTAATGATAATGACTGCAAAGGCCACAATCAGCTGACAACTTGTATTTTATTGTTAAATAATATTAACTTATATGTATCAGACCTTCATTTTGTAAAAGTACTTCTGTGCATAAAATGCTGCAATTATTAGGTCATGATAATAACACCAAAATCTTTTGTTGTTTATATCTTTTATTTATGAAAGAATACAAACTGTAATAAACAATCAATGGAACATATCAACTCTGAACTAAATACTATTTATAATGCCTTCTTATCTATCTGGCAATGAAAATGAATAATTGAAGACTAAAATTAAAAGTTAAACATAACACTGATTATCAAGTGAGACAGTTTCAGATTGTGGTAGTCAATTGGGGTGTATTTCGGTAAATTTACCTACCGGTGTAAACAAACGCCGAATAACTATGAATAATTTAATTTGTTATTATTACGCACATAAAATAATACTTAAAGTTTTGCGATTCTTTATGATAATGTTGCATTTTAAATATATTAATTTTCGCAATTCATATCAGCTCTGGAGAATCTTTTTGTTGATCAAAAATACCGTTCATTTTCATAGAAAAACAGAAAAGCTACGGCAAATAAAGTACGAGTGAGTAGTAATCGAATGTTTAAGTAAAGGCTGAAAAACAAAAAGTTGGGTTTGTTGTTAATATTATCAACAAAATAAATTGTACATGAAATCATATGTACTGTATAGTTTTGTATTTTGATATATCTTTGTTTTGGTCATAACGTTGTGATATTTAGTTTACGATTGTATAAATATTTTTAATACAACTTTATTCTTAGAGACAAGTAAACTAAAGATTACGAATTTGTCCTTAAATTTCATAACAGCCAGTCTTTCCACCAATGAAAAACATCCTCTTTTAGCTGAAGATTTTGTAACTTACAATTTCATTTGTTAAAAATCTAGGTCAAAATCCATTTTAATACAGCTACGCCGAAAAAGCGTTCCATAATAGACGACGCCGCTCACCGGCGTCGCCAATGAATATTTGACCTAATAAGACTTCGTTAAGACAGGTTCTCATAAAACGTTGGCAAGCAAACACTTCTATTATACATAATAAGACGCTTTTACGGAAACATATAACGAAATGTAACAACATGAGGCAGTTATGGTGTTCCATAGTAAATGTTATGCTGCATTGGTTTTGTTAATTTCCGTTGTTGATCGGATGAAAAAAAAGTTGATTTAATCAATTTTTGTTATATTAGATAGAATTCAATTACTATGTATTAAACATCAATCAATATCACATGTTTTTTATTGAAATATTGAAAAATATAAATAAGTATGATTTTTTCGGCGGGAGGCTAAGTCCAAATAAAGTAAAATTGGTTTGGATATGTTTTCTCAATCAGATTCAGACTCTTGAAGTAATGAAAGTTTTATAAATGGATCAGTTCATCAGAAGTACTTACAATTGTTCAAAGAATAAAATTAGGCCTTGTATTCATAAGTTCTTTCACTATCAAGTTGAATTTCAGATATTTGAGGGATTAGTTTTGTTTAACCATGCCTTCACGTGCACATTATAAGTTCTATAATATCATGAATCCTCCTACAAATTATTTTACGTTGCTTTAGTGAGTTATAAATTTTGTCAAACACAAACGAAATTACCTCTCACAATTATGCCCATGACCCCGTTTAATCTATGTATGAAAATATAGAAAAGCACACAGTCATGTAAACGAACTTATTTGGTAGTTATTTATGTGAAATAGATTTAAAGTTAATATATTCATTTAGTGATTTGCGTTCATTGAACGCCGCCTATCCTTGTTGATCTTGTTTATCATATTTCATTGTTTACAATAAATGTTTCTCAAAGTTTTTGTTAGAATAGAAAGCTTACCATCGGTTCCTTTTTTTGGGATTTTAAGTTTCTTTCGTTATTGCTAAAGGTGTTGTCATTTATAAACTTTCAATTGAAATTTCGATTTGATTAAACTTCAATTACTTGAATGCTTTTCTTTGGGCAAATAATAGAAGAAGAAAAAATTACATGAAATAAATTGTTTTGTTTACGACTTTGATTTACTTCAGACTTACGATTTTATTTCTATTCAAAATACTTCGTATGTGCCAACATATGCATATGAGTTTAATATTTCAAGACCGCCTCCGTGGTCGATGGGTTAGAGTCGATGACTTCTAATCCAGTTAACTCTCTGGCGTGGGTTCGATCCCCGGGAGATGCTTTGGTAGTTTAGCACGGAGGAAGGTAGTCTAGTACTGGTGTAACTCACCAGGAACGATGGTTAGGAAACTACCCGCCTATATGACTGAAATACTGTTGAAAGAAGGGGTAAAATGAAACAAACAAACAAACAACGAACAATTAATATTTCAAAAGTTTAAACGCATAATTAAAAAATAGGCTCAATGCCATGATCCTTATGATTCTATTTCAAGTTTTCCCAAGATATGAAATGCAAATAAACCTGTTTAGTCCGGCCTAATATCTTTTTTAAAGATTCTTCTTGTTTCACTTTGACCCCATTTTGACCCCAAATTCAAATTTTTGCCTCATTATTTTTTACTTTTCCCTCGAGGACACATGTTATCGTCTATAGACAGTTTATACAAGTAGCCATGCACAGGTTTAAAATGTGTACATTGAAACATGATATTTCCACCACACCTAAAATTGTGTATCGCTGTAGACAAAAATATATTAACTCGTTGTACATAAAAATAAACCAACTGATTGGTTGACTTCAAATAAAAATACGAGTATCCTCTTTTTATTTCGTTTCTTTAAGACTCTTTGACTTAGACCAGTGGCTATAACTGAACACAATTTGAGCTGCGTCACGACAAAACCAATATAATGGGTTCGCGACCAGCATGGATCCAGACAAGCCTGCGCATCCGCGCAGTCTTATCAGGATTCATGATGTTCGCTATCAGTTTTACTTCCTGAAATAGAGTTGGTAAGCGAACAGCATGGATCCTGATCAGACTGCGCGGATGCGCAGCAAGTCTGGATCCATGCTGGTCGCATTACGTTGGTTTTGTCGTGACACGGCTCATTTATATAATCAAGCCTCTAATTTTGACTTTTGCAATTCTTGGTGTTTTTTTGTTGTTTTTGTTTTGTTTTACGTTGTCATGGATTTGTAATTTGTATAGCATTTATCTCTTCATTCTTGGATGAAAAAGAGAAATCCTATGTTATATTAAGATGTTGAATATCGTCAAATGTTGCTAAACTTAAAGTTGTAACCGACTTAAATATTATCTAAGTGCCAATCGGCACGACTTTTGGCCATTAAAGGCTGCTTTAAATAATAAATTTGTAAATAATAAGGATTTTAAATCACCCTCCCCGCCTCTCCTGCAATATGACTCGGAATAGTCAGATTACTGTTAGATTTCAATCGGCGGCATTTAAATAAAACTATAAATAATGTAACATAACGACATTTATGTCAAACAGTACATGTATATTAAAATGTTAATATCAAGGTCTTACCTTTTGAACCTGTAATTCCATTTGGATGTATTTGTTAAATTAAAATCCATCCAGTATTATAATTTTGTATAGGAATTATGATGAAAACTTCTCCATAATAAACAATCTATTAAAAAAATCCAATATACAATTTTCACGGTGCAAATATTATCATAAACTTGTTAAACGCGCTGAAAAGGTCACTGGCGTAGCTTAAAATAACAAAATAATAACAATAGACCGTGTATAAGGTATTAAAGGGGATTTTATGGGCGTTTAAAAGTCATCATTCGTGTTGGTGGTTCTATTCAGGTGCCCGCTCGTGCCTGAAATAAAGCACTGAAGTAAAGCTGAAAAGTCGCCATATGACCTTATTTAACTGTGTTTGTGAGCGACGTGAAATCCAACCGCTAAAAATAGATAAAGTTAAATATCAATTAAGAATAAATGATCAGTTCTTTACAAAGCTTTAACTATCGTATGTTTGTAATGGTTTGCAAATATCCATTTCTTAAACTTAATAAGATTATACAATGCTATATGTACATCATGCTTGTTACAATGTCATAAGAGTTATATATATGAGTAAGTAAGTAAGTAAATATTTTATTATAGTGACATGTGTATGACAGTTTACAAATAACGAAATTAAATAATTTAACGTACACCCGGCCCAATTGACCAATAAGTCACCTGAAACATATATACATTATAGATAGTTCACATGAAATTATTATACTGTACAAATCATCAATTTTGCAGAATAAGTATTTCAACTTCTTTCTTTTAAGATAAGCATTAACAAGGAATTTAGCTACTTTTCCTGGAAAACATACAACAAGATATTTCATTTTCATATCATCGTTCATAAAATCTGCATTCATAAATTGTTCACTAAAAATGTTTACTCTGATGTTGTTGATGAAGGGACTTTGGACTAAAAAGTGCTTTTCATCTTCTATTTTATTGTCGGTACAAAGCAAACAGATTCTCTGCTCTGGCGTTTCACTGACCTAACGTCCAGTTTCAATCCTTAACGTGAGAATTCTACACCTAAACTGAGATAACATTGATCTTTCATTTTTATTCAAATTTAACTGTACATATTTTTCTGTTATAAAATTGTTCTATATATCAGGGCTGGGAATAAAAACTGCGTCGTATCCTTCAAAATGTAAACAAACGCCGCCATCTTGGAACGAAAAACGTATGTTTTTGATTATAACTATTTTTGTTGGAAATGACTGAAAACCAGATATATGTATTAACACGCTACACTATTTTTAGCTTCGTTCGGTATCTGTTGCTATTTGTACTATTACAAATTTTAAATATATAACTATTTTGTAAAACAAAAGTTATACGGAACTTGCAACTCGAAGCGGAGCAGAATTTTTGTGTAAATGTGTGGATACGACGCAGTTCATATTGCTTTATCCATTGTTTTTTCCTTCAAATCAATTGTATACTCGTTTCAGAGATCACCATAAACATCAAAATATGATTTTGCATCATTTACTTTAATTTAATTAAAAAGAGATGCTTATTTTCCAAGAAAATAGTGGTTTACTAAATGATACGACGCAGTCAGAAATAAAATATGATACGACGCAGTTGCATTTTCATTGCAGGCTGCATATTGGTTCAGCTATTAAATTATGTGCTAGGTATGCTAATAACGTCCAACAACATTTCTTGTTTACAACATTTATAAGTCAAAAGCAGAGGTTTGTTCCACTAAAATGGAAAATGTATTAAAAATTCGATTAAGGCTTCATATTTCGGTTGCATTTTAGCGACGGACGCGCCCTCAGGCGCGTTCAGAGCCAAGTCATCTACATTGGAAATCGTTGGCTACAATCGCGCAGTGTGTCCTAAACCGATTAACAGCCCAAGAAATAGTACATGAATTTGATCCTTCTAAACTCCCATACTTTGTCTGGATATCTTAAAATCTTCCATATTTAGCCTTTTCAATTTCAAATTAAGTTATCCAAGTTAAAATACGAACGTATACTATTGATAAAAACGTTGTAGTCCCGTAGTATTATTGCGCAATATGCAAATTACTGCCGAAACGATTTACCGCTGTCGAAAAAGAAGGACAGCAAATTATACTTCAATAAAGGTGTAACCTCTGAGTTCCAAGACATTATTAGTAGGAAATAAATATTACTTCATTAAACAAAACATTATTATTAACAAATCGAAAGTTAATCAAAAGTTTTTCGTGACTCTAGGATAACTCGCGCATTAATAAAGGAAGAACTATTTTCATGACTCATACCGCGGGTTTAGCTGAATATTCAGCATTTCTTAATATCTTAGATACAGTACAATGGTTAGTATAAATATCTATTTTTGAAAATGCATGTTAAGAAGAGCGTTTTTCAACACTTGACCGCCATGTAGTCTTTCATGGTGAGGAAGTTATAATATCAGTTCTACTTCCGATTCTTGTGGTTTGTTTACATATTTTTCTAGGTCATGATATGAGTTAACCTTCGCTATTCTAAAAATAGATTCTGCTATATCTGTTCTGATTTTTGGACAGGCGAGTATGGAGTACACATTATACATGTAATAAACCAATACTTTTAGAAATTCTATACAATTGTAAGAAGCAAACAAGTTGAAAATGGAATTTAGTGTGAAATTGAAAAGGACAACTAAACACTGTAGTGCTTAAGTACATGACATTTAAATTAAAATAAAAACGATGTGTTCTGGCCTCTACATCTTTACCTTGTAAATATTTTTTTTTTTAAAAATACACTATTAATTGCTGGTGATTTTAACCAAAAATTTTTATAATGAGACATAAATTAATACAAATGACTTATATTTTATTGTCTATATGCCCACTATGATATAACACGAAGCAATTCTAAATAGCATTCTCAAATGTATAATGTATTAATTTATGTTTGAAGTTTATTTGCCTGGTTTTATTTTAGAAATATTTCGTTGACAGTTTTTTCTATTTTCTATTTACATATCATTTCTTGGAATAAATCGATAAGGACACTGGTTTACAAGTTTGACCAGAGTTTCTAGGCATATATTTCATTCTGTATTTAAGTGCTTGAAAGTAGAAAATCTGAATTATATCAGTTTGGGACACAAAATATATTGCTCTACAAATCTCGAACTTGTATGGAACGAATTTTCTCTGTTATATATTTTGTGTTTTGTTTTTGTTTTGTTTTTTCTAAAAGAAGCCTTAAGGTCTCTCCGGTTGCATGTCCGTCGCATTCAGTGCTGCAGCACTTTGATTAGTTCCTGTCATAAGCATCTACAAATTCCGGAAAGCTGTATCAAATGCAATATACATTAAAACACGTGATCGCACACCCATATGACAACGTGTTCTAGAGTTGCCTAAGCATGCTTATAAATTTGTTTCCGTGATTTCGAAATTGGGGTGGTTACTTTTTTCATTTACAGAATTTTGATACAAAATTCAATATTCTAGGGTCACCTTTCCTTGACCTTCCAATCAGGAATGACCTTTGTTTGTTTTTGTTTTTGTTTTTTTTTTCTTTTTTTTTTAAAGAATTACAAATTTTGTAAAGGTCTCTTGCTATCTGAAGAGAAGTATGCATGCCTACCTTTGTTACTTATAATAAGCAACTATTTCCGGCAAGTCCGTTATTATGTCTTTTACGTGCCGATTTTATTGTATTCATTTTGTTAATAATCGGTGGGAACAGATGAGCTTTATTATTTGAAACTGAACATTTTTTTTTTAAATTTTATTATAAATGGTTAAGCTACGATATATAAGGTATGCGTTCCGTTCAGTCATTTTATGTTCAGCGCGCCGATTTTGTCGTATTGCATTTCTTTATCGCCGATAAGAACAGGTCTACGGAATGTATTTTCTATTTTTGCACGAAAGTATCATTCTTCTCCACTAAAAAACTTAAATTTTCAAAATCGATTTACAAATGATAAAACTGCAAATTATTTTGTAAAAAAGGTGTCCGTTTTGCAAAGGTATTTTACGCTTTGCACCGATAAATTTGATTTAGATGTATGCAAGACAGGATGTTTCAATAGTATTGAAGAAGTTTTCACTAAACATACCTTCAAACTAAAGTGTGATTTTTATTTGAAAATGAATTGCCTGCAAAATTAAACAAAATTTTTCAGAAAATGACTTCAAAGCGGGTTACCCCCTCTTTACATTGAAATTTTTTCTGCTATTCGCACCGAAATATCAAAGTAAAAAATAATCTTAGAGATAAAGGAAATATTTCATTTCAATAAGAAAGTTAAATTTCATTGTCTTTATAATTAATTTAAATATTTATAATCTTAAAACCTCACGCCAGAAATTAATAAAAACAACTAAAACTGCATATTTGTACAGCTGACGTAAACAAATTGTTGAAAAAAAAATCAGACAGGTGTTCGACCGAAGCCGAGCTGTTTATGTTTACTGATTCAAATCACTTGAACTGAACTGCTATGAACTCGAAAACCCCCAGGGACTTTTGATTCTTTCGTGTGGAAACCTATCAAGCTACATGTAGTTTCAAAATGTCGATGGTTCTCTGCAGGTGCAACATTTTGCCTGAAATAATGCACAAAGGCGCATTTGAGGTCTTTGCCCCCAGTTAAGCTAATATGTAGAGACAAACCTAAAAAAACAGTCATTACCCAGAACATGCAGAACCACAGTTGACTTAGAGCTTAGCTAGCCAAAATAAATCAGGTTCATAGACTTCTATATACTTATATGCCAAAAAATAGGGATAATATTGAACATACAGGAAAATATAAGAATTTTTAAAAAAAAAATTATGATAAATTAAATAACATGTTCATGTTTAACTGTGAAGTAGCTTCCGCAATGTACACTTTCAAATTAAATGTTATATTGGGCAAGACACAATATATTCTAAATAATCAAAAGCAACACAACATCTCTATATACACCGCATAAAATCTAGGTTTTTTATCTAGAGCAAGTGATTATTCCATAACATAGACATATATTGCCAAAATTATCCCTGTTGAAAAGACTGCCAACAAATACAACTGCGTCGTATCATATTTTATTTTTAACTGCGTCGTATCATTTCGTAACAATCATTATTTTTTTAGAAAATAAACACCTTTTTCTAATGATATTTTAGTAAATGATGCAAAATTATATTTCAAAGTTAATGGTAAACTCTGAAATGAGTATATAATTTATTTGAAGGAAAAAACGATGGATAAAGCAATATGAACTGTGTCGTATCCACACATTTTCACAAAAATTCTGCTCCGCTTCGAGTTGCAAGTTCGCTATAACTTTTGTTTTACAAAATAGTTGTGCAAGCAACATATACCGAACGAAGCGGAAAATAGTGTAGCGTGTTAATACATATATCTGGTTTTCAGTCATTTCCAACAAAAAGAGTTATAAACAAAAACATACGTTTTTCGTTCCAAGATGGCGGCGTTTGTTTACATTTTGTAGGATACGACGCAGTTTTGATTCCCAGCCCTGATATATGTAGATGAAATATTTGTTAATATGTCGCGACTATACAATGATTGTAAATATGATATGCTCTTCAGAATGGGGGTAATCCATTATATTTATCTGTCTGTCTGTCTGTCTGTCTGTATGTCTGCGCGTTCAGTGCAACTCTTATTATCTCTTTATTATATAATATAAATGAACTATTGAGACGTATCGATGAAATAAATGTGTAATTCATTTTCCGTAATTTCACTGTAAAAAATATTTTTCACTACAGTGAAACATATTTTCTGTATTTGCACTGGTGTATCTCCGGACTACTTTCTTCTTAATTCAGCCAATACACAATATTAACGAGAAGTCTCGAGAATTGTAAGATCAAAAAGGAAAAAAAGTATATAATAAACAGAAAATTCAAGTCTAGTGATAACCGCAACTCGTGAACTATTTATTTTCATAACACTCGAAGAAAATAAATACTGTATTTATAGAAAAAAACTTAATATCCACTTTTCAATTTACAATGTATAATTTCATTTATAAATATGATACAGTATTGTTACATGCAAAAACATAATTAAGAAGCATGTCAAAATAAACAGTATATTGATAAACTTAAATTTCTTAAGCATTAAAAAATCAAGAGACATGTGATTTTTAAAGGGAGAAAACTAAGATAAATTATAACCATTATTATACAGCATGATTATCTCCCGTTTAATAAAATTGATACAAGATTTTGCATAATGCCAATAATATATATTTGTTTTTGTAATTTCTGTATGGGACATCATTTTATATTTATATTGCTTTTTAATTGTGATTATTAAAACTTTTTAATAATGCATCATATAGGTCTGCTTGATATGGTGGCTGATTTGTGCCATTTCGCCCCGCGCCCCCGCCAAACAAAAGTTTATGGAGAAAAGGGAGACAACAATAACGCAAAGAAATCAAAGTATTTTTACAGTTGTCGTTTTCTCAATTTTATGATTGTTTTTTTTTCTTTTCTTTTTTTCTTCTTTGTTGTTATTTTTGTTTTTGTTGTTGTTTTCTGCTTTGTTGTTGTTTTCTGTTTTGTTTATTTTCATTGTTATTAATTTGTTTCTTTTGTTTTGTTTTGTTTCGTTAAGTTTAAATATATATATTTATTTCAATATTTTACATATATATTATATTTTATATGTATATAATTGTTACATAAAATTGAAAGGGAAAACTTATATAGTTCCTTTCTCTATCCTGTTTCGTTTGTACCTTCAAAGCAATACAACAAACAATTCAGCATAAACATGTTTATGTTTTTCGCCAACACATTATTTGGTGATTACATTATTAATAGTGATACAATTTTGAAAAGATAAAGCTTTTATGTGAAGTTTTTGTTGTTGTTGTTGTTGTTGTTGTTGTTTTTAACCGCAATGCAGAATTGCTCAACGCTTTTATCTCGCGAAGTTCCATACAAAGTTGCTGACATGATATATTTAACTAAATATGAGTTGCCACTATTTAACAAATAAAACATGGCCTTGAGGGCAATATGCAAGTTTACGGACTGGTTGGTCAGACTGAGGAAGGTATATGGCCCGAAGCGCATTTTGCCCGAAAGGACATGTTTTATTTGTTATATTATACCGAATCTAAATCATTTCATTCCTTTTGTTGCTAACAGTTTTACTATAATTTACTTTCAAATAATAATTTATTTGTTCAGTGTGTGAAATATTTCAAACCCTAGTCGGAATTATTATTATAATTTTAAAGCGATACAGCAAAAAAATCATGCTCTTCTTTTGTTATTCAGTTTTTAAAAATCAAATTTAACAGGCCGAAAACGAACTTTAAGATTTAATATGACGTCATCCAGTCCATATAAGAATTATGGACCGCCCCCGGTCTGCATGCGGTTTATGGACCGGGTGACGTCATATTAAATATAGAAGGGCGTATGCAAATGAGGTATAATATTAAGAAATAATGAACATTTCAGAATTTTGTATTAAATGGCGAAACAGGATAAGAGGTAAAAGTTTTCAGATATTAAAGGCATATTCATTCACATCAATATAATATTAATCGTAACAGGGGTAAGGTTCAAGTAACTATTGATAATGCATATGATCGCCGGCAAAAAACAAATACAGAAAAACGTACTGGGCTGAGTATAATATACATGTTTTACCTTTTTGGTCAATTTCTTTTTAACAACACGTGCGCTTTGCTTTGCAAAATCGACAGGCGTCTTTTTCTCGCGCATGTAGTCCATTTTACGATATAATAATATCTTAGACACGTTAAAAACGATTCCATTTTATTCATAAAACAAAGTATTGGAATTTATTGAAATGCATAAATATTTACATATAAATAAATAAATAAATATAAACAAATAAATAGAAATAGATCCCAGCCGGTCAATTGCTAATCTTTAAAGTTATGGCAACTATTAGCTTGACAACCAACATTCTTAGATAACTTAACTAAAACAGCAGAACTAATATTTTGTTTGTTTGATAATGCCTAAAATGAATGAATGAATGAAGGAAGGAAGGAAGGAAGGAAGGAAGGAAGGAAGGAAGAAGGAAGGAAGGACTTTTTATCTTGATTCGGATTAAGTTAAGGCCAAACAATGTTCTTCTTTTTGCAATCAACACGTGTTGAGACGCATTTATTACAAGCATTTTGTTCTTGTGATGTTAGCGTTGGAACGTTTTAGCGCGCATGAAAGTATTTTCCTATAAACATCTGGCGAGAAACCGAAGAAAACTCTAGGTAATTGATAAGTGATTACAACAGCGTGTAAAGAGGTGATCCTCGGGACATATTTTTATGTTGATCTATATCAATATCGACTAATGGTGTTTAAAACTATGAAATATATCTGGAGCATTGATTTCATATCTGACTGTAATCCTCCGAGAAATATCGCCACAACTACATAAATTGTTCAAATATGCATTTCGTTTATTAATTTATATGTGTTCGGAGTTAAATATGTGATGTGACATGGATGATGTCAGGGATAAACCGCCAATCGTTTGGTTGACAATAATAAGAATAGGTTATACATGTCACTAACTGACGATGAAGTGGAGTACTTAGATTTTACCGGTCAAAACAAAAGTCTTAAGTGGATAACAAAATATTTCGTATTGTCAACGGCAGAAGTGGAGTAGACCACTTGTTATATGAGACGGAAATTTGTGTTATTTATATTCATATATATCGTTTGTTGTTTATTCTTTATCATTTTTATTGACGCATTAGATTAGTTAACATTAATGAGAGCGGACTCATATCGTCACATTTGAAAAATATTGCTCAAAGAAATTTGAATATTCTGAGCACAGCTTTCCACGGAAGGCTTGATGAAGAACAAATTTGTTTTCTATTAAACGTTGCATTACTCTTCATATGAAAGTGAAGGAAATCTCGGATATTTAAGATGTATTCTCCGCTTGAAAACGTTGATGCAAATACGACTTGGACTTTAGATGAATTAAGTAAACTAAAAGCAGCGTATCTTCTACCAGCGGTAGTTTACCTCGGTGTGTTGATGATAATAGGTGTAATCGGTAACGCTTTTGTGATCATTATATTCTACTTCCGGTTCAGCGAGTCTACACACCGGACTTTTATTTTGGTTCTTGCTTTTTATGACTTTTTTGCTTGTGCTGTCGGAGCGCCATGGGCAATAACAGAATCATTCTTTGCATACAGCTACATGGATGCAGTATCTTGCAAAATATTTAGATTCATACTGTATTATACTTGTATAGCTTCAAGTCTTACCTTAGTTTTAATAGCATTCGAACGGCACCGTAAAATTTGCACGCCGTTAAAACAACAATTCACGGTCCCGATGGCCAAACGTGCTTTATTTATCGTTTGCATCGTCATTTCGTCTATATCAGCCTCTCCAGCTTTTATTTTCTATGGGAATGCTTCAAAATATACTGGTGTTGAAAACATTACAGGAACTAGGTGTTTTATAACTGATTTCTACGAACACGAAGTGCCCGGATGGCCAATGGCTTTCAATGTGTACCTTCTGGTTCTCGCGTTCGTATCAACCCTATGTATGGCTGTTTGCTACGCAATGATAGCAAGACAAGTGTCAAAGATGGGAAAGGCAAATGTCTCCAAACGCATGACGAAGAATGCGGAGAAATCCAACGGTGAGATGAATTCAGTGTGCATGGACGAGGAGAGTGATTCTTTTCATGTCAATGGGAAAAGACCAGTGTCAGAAGCTGTCAGTGTGAAAAGTACGGCATCGACAATGAGTAATCCCAAAAATGTGAATAACGCAACGCCCAAATCAAAAAATACATTTAGGAAGAGAACATCAGTTTGGGCAAATAAGGTAATTCGCAAATTGTCAACGTCTTCTGGGAAAAAGACGGTTCGGATAACAAAGATGTTAACGTTGGTGACAATAGCTTTTGTAATAAGCTACTTGCCACATCTATCGCTTATGATATGGAGTATGGTGATAACAAAGGACGACAAACACACTTTGCCTACGGATAACGAATATAAAGTACTGTTTTATTCCTTTTTCATTAACAATCTAGTAAACCCTTTTATTTACGCGGCAATGGATTTAAAGTTCAGAGGAGAACTTGCGAAGCTAGTGAAATGCAGATTCTCTTGGAAGAGATAACGCATGTAATAATCTGTATATTGTTAATATAATGCAGACATGCCGCCAATTGCTGTTTCTTTTATCTTTAATAGCAAACTGTTTGATGTTCAATATTGGGTAAAGTGTACATGCATACTTGCCTAGAATTATTTCTAAACATTTATAACAGATAAAGCGTTGTTTATCATAAAATATTATACAGACTATAACTTGCCATAGTTCCATCTGAAAGTAAACCCATTAAGTACACTCTCTGATTTCTTTGCAATTGTATGATTAAGTTTAGTCAAACATCTAAGGCACCTATCTAAACGAAATAAAGTTTGCAGTACAATTTGGTCAAAATGTAGAATGTCTTTCACAAAATGAAAATATTAAATTTGGGAATGTAACTTCAGACTCTGGTATCTTTTTGATTTTATACAAACTCACGTTAGAGTCGTAGAGTTGCAACTTGGAACATGTGACCATTTTTACCCGAAATTCTTGCTCAAACCGTATAGCATAATATGTTCTGCGAGTTCATTTTGGACCTGTTTTTCCCTTGATTTTACTACCAGAACCGTTCGCAACTTACATGAGTAACATACATGTATGGCCAAAACGAAATCAATTATTTCTTCATATACTTCAATCGAACACATAGCATTGTATTATTACGTACAGATAATGATAAAATAGCATGAAGACTGGACGAAAGCACATTAAAATTCTTCAAATTAAATGCGATTAAGAACACTAAGTCTTTGTCCTACTTTTCGTCCAATGAAAATGCCTGAATTTGAAAACTTCTTCCAATCTTTTTCGTATAAAATATCCTCAATCATTCATTTAATCGTCAAGTCGAGGCGGCTTTGTTAAAAAGACACAAAAGCGTTTTAAATAGCTACCTTACGTCGTTTCTTTCTAAGTTTTGAAATCGTGTATTTCTTTTTCGTTTTAGTGTTTAACCATTAACTACAATTACCTACAGTGGAATATAATAATAATAATAAAAAGCCGTTTCATTTAAGGCTAAACAAAGCTCAAAGTAAAGCTTTAATTAATCGATTTTTTATGATGAGATAGAAAAAGCAAGCATTTAATGATCATTAATGTATAATGAGCTTAATAAGTGCACGAGATTTTGAACCCGGTCATGTATAATTGAATACTTCATTTATTAGTTAAAACCATCGATGATGGTAGAGTCGCACGCAATACCAAAAGCTGCAGTGAAGAGTTTAATCGATTGAAACTCAGTACTTGTAACATCGTGTGTTCCATTTTCAACTGTTATCTGGTTGGTATATGTTGGTATTAGTTAAGTCTTTATATATATCAAGGTACTTCCAAGAACTTATCTACACTGCTTATTTTACCTTCCTTCAAATTTGTAATTTAGCAATTAATTAAAAAAAATCATCGAAGTTCAACATTTTCATCGTTGAATCCCAATAAAATAACAACCAAAATGTACAGGCCATATTTAGCATTATGATAACTAATCAACAGAAAAATACCGAAATGTCGATAAACACCGACGCTTGCCGGAAAATGAAGAGTTTTGCGACATCTTAACTATCTTTTTATTCCTGGAAGGTATAGGTATGACACAACTGTCTACATTAAGTTGATGTCCCTTAGCACCATGTGTGGATTCTCGGGGCTACGTGCCTAATACCTCTGATTAAGACTCACTTGATCCCTGTCGCTTAAGGATGAACAGGCCAGATACTGTTAACTTAAATGCGGTTCCACTCGGGCATCGCTTATGGGTGGAAAAACGCACTTGGGTTGGGACATCCGGGATCCTCCTTCGTTGTTGTAGATAAAATAAGTTTACTGTTTTGCTTACAAGAAAAGGATAATGTTTCGACGTCCATCTTCAATGCCCATTTAGCCTCAAATATTCATTTTTTCGAATAAACCCCCCCCCCCCCCCCAAAAAAACAAAAAAAAAACAATAACAACAAAACATTTTGTTTGCATCTTGCTACACATATGGCACAATTTGCACGTTCAGTGCTATTTCTGAAGGTGATTTAATATCCACATGCTCTAAATCTGGTATTAAGACATTGTTAAACATATATTTGTTCTTTCGATAGAAAATATTCATGTTCTTAGGCTAAATGTACCTTTAAGAAGTACACCAACTACTTTAAAATAACTCAAGGCTTACATACCGGATATTGGGCTAGTAGCGCAGGAAACCTGAGGCATTTCAAATTCATTAATTATATTGTTATCGATCTAGATCTAAAACTATCAATAATTCATTGTAACAATACATGTATTTAGAAATCAGACAATTTCAGAAATACTGATTTATTGTATGATTTTTATTGCAATTTCACGGCAAACAATAATTTATTACAAGTATGGTGACAGATTTACGCCATATCGTATTTTCGTTTTTGTTTGTGATGGCGACAGGAATGCAAAAATACGAGGATACGACAAACTATCGTTGCAAAAAAAGCGAAAATACGCCATGGCGTACATCAACCAGTTATTAGGCAGAATCTGGCTGATATGAATACAGTGCGTTCACAAAATAAACCGTTTAGCAAATATCCCGTGCATGTGCCATTTTGGTCTTAATATTTATTTCATACCAAGCATTTTCTGAATGATTCTTTTTTTTTTCAAATTTATTACAAAAATGTTGTAGACTACAGGAAGTAGACATATACACTTTTAATTTGATAATTATAAGATATGTTCTTTATTGTTATGTAACTATAAGTCGTTCATTTTCTTTCTTTTACTTTGAAATTTTGAGTACAATACATGTACGTCACTCGAGTCTTATAGGCTAAGTGCATATGTCCGTTTTCAATATACATTAAATAAACACGCCTAGACTTCAGCTTAAGAATTTGTAAATACTAAATCCGGCCCACCCACCCCCTCCCACACGCACACACAAAGTGTTCATTTTCTTATAATTTGAGATGATAATCGTCCTTGAGAAGAAAAGAATAAATATTAAATAAACAACCTTTAATAATGTGTGCATCACTTTTTAAGAATAACTTTCGGAAAGAAATAAAAACCGAGAAGTTTGTTATTGTCAGATATTGTCACTTATCTACGTGTTTTTGATTGAGCGGCTGTCTAATTGTAATCAAGATGATATAAAATATAATAAATACTATATTGTTTCCCTGTATTACATCAGTTTATAACAGGTGATTCGGAAATGCTACTTGATATTTTATGGTATATCTGCATAAATTGCGCATGATTTGTGTAATGCTTCTTGTTATATCCACTTGTTTGGCCATTAAAAGTCATGACAATAACTGCACTCGATGGTTCATTAAATATTTAAGGCTATAACAATTCGCTATGTTTCATGCAATATTTTATGTACTGTTTACTTAATGTTAGTCCGTCACTTAACTTATTTACTATACTAATTAAAAATTAGCTAGTATTGTAGGTGATATTATGTTTTGTATTATTTAGAGTAAATCCGTATATGTTTTGACTCAATAAGCGATCCTCCCAATAAAACGGTATACTGGGGGAGTCTATTCTATTCTTCATGCAATGGCACAACGAGCTCACGTGACACACTAGGTTGACAGTAGACGTCTGATAATTCAAATTGTAAATTTTTATAAGGCATCCACACATCACAATACTCTGAAAGTTTTACTCAATTAAAGCCACAATTATCATGATGACGTTAAAGGTTTAAATGCGCGTGCTACCTTTCATATTTTAAAGTTGCACGTGCAGCATTGATTTGAACGAGATGTTTATTTATCCATGTTCGTAAAAATATGAAATTATAATGATTGTCTATATATGTGTACGTTGTCCACGTCAAAGAGCGAAAAAACAAAGTATATCTTTTGTGAACAGAACAATATAAGCTTGACATTAAAGAGCACAGGTTGGAAACAAAGCAGTGGTCAAAGTGTTTAAAGTACTAATGGAAGGCGATTTTGTATTTTTTTCAAGATTTATTTTTTAAACAAATTAATACATTGTAGTCAGTTAAACTATCGCGTGTGCACGTACTAGCGATCGCGTGGCTACGCAAAAGCTATCGCGTGCGCACGTAATAAATATTTTTTATATATGTTCGCCTTGTACCGGCGTAAAAATGCATATAGGTTTATAAAATATACTAAATATAACCAAGTAAAAGATGCACTATGCAAAGAAAAGATATTCACGAAAAGCGCACTTTTAAAATAAGAGAACCTATTACATGTCTTGTTAATTTGAAACAATCAATAAATTCAAGTATCAGTTGAGTGTTGTAAAATGAATTTTAATTTAGTAAGGAGTATTTCAATGGCCGACTCTTGTTTCTCAAATTTTATGAAAGTAAATGCACTTGAAATTTAATGAACTAAAACAGAACTTGAAGTTTTTTTTAACATTTTTTAAATTTTTGTCGTTGAAACAGTTGCTGCAACTAATGTTCTGAAAAAACAAAACAACAATTAAACAACAACAAAAACAACAAATAATAACAGTTGTTCTTAAAGATGAATTAATTTGAAGCTGTTGTTTTTAACAAATAAAAGCATATAGGATTAAAGAGTTTTGAGCATACGTGGATACGCTTCCTAGAACTATAAGACAAAAATCAATGCAATTTAGGTAGCATGGTCTTTGCCTCATTCAGGATCGAATCCGTTAAGTCAGGACTGAGTGTCAGACACATTAATTCACTACATGAATACATAATCCCTCTGTAATACCAAAAATGGAAAAGTGCTGCAATTCGACAATGGAAGGGGACTTAATACCACAGGGGAAGGGAACTGTGATGCCACAATGGAAAGGGGCTGTAATACCAAAATGGAAGGGAACTGTGATACCACAATGGAAGGGGACTGTGATACCTCAATGGAAGAGGACTGTAATACCACAATGGAAGGGGTCTGAAATACCACAATGGAAGGGGGCTTTGATACCACAATGGAAGGCGACTGTAATACTACAATGGAAGGGGTCTGTAATACCACAATGGAGGGGGACTTTGATACCACTATGAAAGGGTGATACCACAATGGAAGGGGACTGTGATTCCACAATGGAAATGACTTAATACCACAATGGAAAGGGACTGTAATACTATAATGGAAGGGGATTGCAATACCACAATGGAAGGGGACTGTGATACCACAATGGAAGGGACTGTGATACCACAGACGTAGGGGACTTAATACACAATAGAAAGGGACTGTAATACTACAATGGAAAGGGACTGTAATACCCCATGGAAGGGGACTGTAATACCACAATGGAAGGAGACTTAATACCACAATGGAAGGGGGCTATGAAACCACAATGGAAGGAGACTGTAATACAACACTAAAAGGGGACTGTGATACAACAATGGAAGGGGATTGTAATACAACAATGGAAGGGGACTGTGATACCACAATGGAAGGGGACTGTGATACAACAATGGAAGGGGATTGTGATACCACAATGGAAGGGGACTGTGATACCACAATGGAAGGTGACTTAATACCACAATGGAAAGGGACTGTAATGCTACAATGGAAGGGGGCTGTTATACCACATAGGAAGGAGACTTTTATACCACAATGGAAGGGGACTGTGATACCACAATGGAAGAGGACTGTGATACCACAATGGAAGGGGACTTAATACCACAATGGAAAGGGACTGTAATACTACAATGGAAGGGGGCTGTAATATCGGAATGGAAGAGGATATTATACCACAATGGAAGGGGACTGTGATACCACAATGGAAGGGGACTGTAATACCACAATGGAAGGGGACTTAATACCACAATGGAAAGGGACTGTAATACTACAATGGAAGGGGACTGTGATACCGCAATGAAAGGAGACTGTAATACAACACTGGAATGGGACTGTGATACCACAATGGAAGGGGACTGTGATACCACAATGGAAGGGGACTGTGATACCACAATGGAAGGGGACTTAATACCACAATGGAAAGGGACTGTAATACTACAATGGAAGAGGGCTATAATACCACAATGGAAGGAGACGTGTAATACAACAATGGAAGGGGACTGTGATACCACAATGAAAGGGGACTGTTATACTACAATGGAAGCTAGGAGACTGTAATACCGCAATGGAAGGGGACTGTGATACCACAGATGAACGGGAACTATACTATAACTGATGGAAGGGGAAATGGGTGATTCATGAAAAATTAAACATTCGATGTTCTCTCAAAAAAAACTAGTTTTTTTGTATGAACGGTTTAATTACGTCCGTACACGAGATGCATAGTTTCGTGTTTCTGAATTTTCTAAAAAAAATTATAACATCATAATTATTCAGAAGCGATATCCTGTTCGAGTGCCAGTGAAAAAAGAGAACTTCTGGGTGGTTTTTCGTGAAGGTCAAATCTCAAAATATGTTAACGCTTTGATATTTGTGTTTTTGCTTGCTATAGAAGACTGTGTAA